TATATGCATTTAAAATTCATAGAACTGTAATAATGTAAAATTTTTTTATATTAAAGGTAGTTTTAATTTTCTTTTTTTTTTTTTTGTACATTTCAGGAAATTAAGAAAATGATTTGACTCTTTATATGTGCAAGATTTTTTATTCTATGGGGTTAAAAACATCTTTCTTTTTTTTTGAAATAATACTTGTAATAATACATTTACTTGTTCTATTTTTATTATTTTCAAAGTGTAATGTTTGCCTTAAAGCACATAAGAGTTCTTATTTAAAATTTTACTTCTAAATTTAGAAATTATTTTTGATTAATTTATTAGCATAATTAGAAAACAAAAAATCATATATTATAAAAAAAAAAGAATAGAACCGTTAAATAACGAAATATTCGAAAGAAATAATATAAATACAGCGCAATGTACTTGTATATGTACCCATTGCTTAAAATAATTAATTTTTTCATCCTTGTCTCTGTTATTTATATAAATCCTAATTTCGGAATATGGACGTTGAAAGCTTTAAAAAAATATATAAAGTTCTGCATTGATTTAAAATTGGTAATGATGTCGATAACTACCTCAAAAGTTTGAAATGTGATGGATGAACAACCAAAAAGCTACTGCCATTATAAGCTTAGATAAAATAAAATTTTACTCAAGCCGCTGCAATTTACTTATGCCAACTCACATTATTACAAAATGCATATGAATTTCAATCGCCTTGCATATATAATAACGCAACAAAGAGATCTGTAAGCGAAGGAGAGTGCAAAATGAAAAAAAATCTTGTATGCAGGCGTTCGGGATCTTGCAGCCATGAGGGTAATAACCGCATTCGCGTCGACTACACAATTCAAATGCGGCGACCCCATTTCGTGAGCGTGCGATTGACTCCTCGTTACACTGTTACGCGTGTGCGCATAGTCGCGCTATCAATAATGCACGCCCGTTTCGTTGATATGTCTATGCGCATCCAGTATGCCTCCCTCGCTCCACATACATTATGAGTCGAGCCACTTTTGCAATCCAATATCGCAACATCCATTTTAGCATACACTTCATCCAATCTGGAAGCCCTTGGTACCTTTTTCATCGTTTAGCAAGTCAGAGTACTCCATCTATCTACTTAACGGACGTTCGATTAGTCACTCAATAAATTGGAGAAAATGGATTATTTCATATACTGATTTAATTGCTATGACCAAATGCTTTCGTGTTGAATTTACAATGCAATATTTTCGTCGTTACGCTTATAAACAAGTACTGTAATGCAGTTGAGTTATCCTCTTGTACTTATGTGTACATTCCGAATTTCCAATATCTTCGATAATACATAGTCAACTATCGTTATCAAATATTTGTATCCCAGCAAGTACTTACGAAGTTTAAAAGCAAAAATTTTCAGTAATTTTATAAAATTATTTCAAAATATAATCACTATGTTAAGATACGTTAGAATCTATAAATACAAATTCTAAAAAAAAACTACATTAATAATATGTACCATGCATACGTACATACATACATATATACACCCACACGCGCGCGCGCGCGCGCACACACACACACACACATATATATATATATATATATATATATATATATATAACTGCAGTGATATAACAACTCATACCATTACTAACTATAATTATAACGGTATTTTATGTAAAAACCGCACCATGGTGCTTGCATTAATTATGAAAGGAATATCTTTCACTATTAATCGGCACGCTCATTCTTCTTAATAGCAAATGCAATTAAACCAAAAAATACAGTTTTAATAAAAGTGTCACATAGAGCTTCTATGACACCACATATAACAAATAGCAAAATTAATTTATATCTTCAAAGAAAAATAAATTCCTCGTTAAAATAAAAAAATTACATTTTAATTACTACAATTACAGAAGAGCCGACATCCCCTCAAAGCTATTGACTGAGTATGCGTATACTGTTATTTTGACCCCATATATTGCACTGGGCGGAAGGTGAAAGAAAAAGATTAAGAGAAGTACGAACGATCTCGATAATATGAATGCGAAGAAAATGAGATCAAGTTTAAACGGTCATTGAGCTCCGCTTCTAGTGTACAATACTTTGAAAGGTTCCAAGCACACGATGTCCAGATTTTTCTTATGACTGCCGTGTATGGCTGATACGACTTGTTGATGTTGTATCTCCTTTTCGTAGAAACGTTGTTTCATCTCACTTGTCACATGAAAAAGTCTATTTTAAATTGCGATACTGTCGAAATATCATTTATTTTCTTACTTTTTTTCAAATTCACTTTATCTCTACTTATAATATTTTTTCTTATTTTTTTAATTTAATCATACTACCAATTAATACAAGCTCTTTATTTCTATGCAGCTATTTCTAATAAAATAAAATAAACATATTCTCTATTTGTAGATCAATATTTAACATAGAAATTTTATATTATAAATATACAATTGTAAAAAATCAATCGATCGATCTAATATATAACGAAAAATTCACTGGGCATCAGACATTGAATGGAACAAAAAACTACCTTATTTTATTATACACTTTTAAAAGTAACTGTACTTTCTATATTTAATAATGAAAAATTGCAAGCAAAATTACATGCATTAAAATTATAAACACCATTAAAGTTAAGAAGCTCTAATGACAAATAAATATTAATTACGTTACAAATATCATTTTAATTTTGAACAATAGATTATAATTTATAAAATTTATCTTTATTTTTTCAGAGATAATCAACGCCTATGATCTTACTTATAAATATTGTAGATTTTGTTTATAAATGGAATATAAAAACAGAGAATACTTATATTAATTCATGATTTGATGGATATAAGTATCACAATTAAATTCTTCGAAAATAAATAAAATGTATCATTTTATCAAACTTTCATTCAATTTTTATCTTTGTTATAATGATTTATGTTAAATTCAATTTTAAATCGTCGTACATTACACCCTCTTTTACTATATGTTTATAGAAAGCTCCGAGTAATTACTGACTTGTAACTATTAGTAGAATTATGTATATAATAATAAATTTTCTAGTAAATTTGTTACTATAATATATAAATGTAATCCAAGAAATATCTAAGTCCTAAATATCAAAAATTAATTTTAAAAATTTGATAAAAATTTGTTTTCTACATTTTTTTCTATACTTTTTTCTTCATAAAGAAAAATGATTTACTAAAATTTATATGTTTATTAAATTGATTTAAAAAATTAATTCACCATAAATGTGCACCATAAGTTTAAAGAACTATTATCAATTATTTTATCTCTGTACGAAATGCATTATAATCGAATTAATAAAATAAATCTACGGTAGATTTATATAAGGCATTTGTATACTACAAAATTTTTTTTGTAAGATCATTAGTTCTAAAATCTTTATAATCTTTGTTATTAACTTATAATAAATCATTTAGCTCTGTATAAAAATAGTAAACGAATGTTTAATTTTTATTTGCATTACTATATTATTTATAAATTCTTCTATACACATATTTAACTAATGAAAATTAAAAAATGATAAAGAATAATGTTAGAAGATAGTGGAAATTGAAAATTTGTTAACCAACTGAAAAAGCACACACAGCAGGCGCACACACACGTGTGTGTGAGATATGAAATATATATTTAGAGAGAGAGAGAGAGAGAGAGAGAGAGAGAGAGAGAGAGAGAGAGAGAGAGAGAGAGAGACAGAAAACAAATTTAGTGTTGCTTCTTAAATATATGTAAAAAAAAAAAAAAAAAATTTAGCAATTTGATTTTTCTACTTAAGAATTTTCTTAATATAATTTTTCTAAGCATACAATTCGATCAATTGTACCTTTTGTAAGTAGTAAAATATAATATATAAAGTTAATAAATAACTAAATATACATATCAAATGTTACATAATTATACATATAAAAAAAGCTTAAAAGAATTAAGTGTTTTTGAAATATCAATATTTTACTTATGTTATTCTTAAAATTAAATAATATAAAATATAATAAAATATAGCTGTACTTTAGAAAAACGCAAACTACACCAATTATAATTGCTTCTACATACTAGTCTGCAATTATTTATAAAGTAAATGAACTATAATAACTTAATAATTAACAAATTAAGTAATAAATTTAATTATGTAAGATAATAAGATAAATTGTAGTTGTTCAAGCAAAATAAGCAAAATAATAATATATACTTATAATTGCCTATTAATATTTTGTTTATTCTCATGAAAGTATGAATTCCTCTTTATTTTGTAATTAATATATATCTTTATTCTTCTACGATCTCACAGCCTATTAATTTTAATAAATAAATAAATTAATTAACCGGTAAATTTTGTAAAATAGATTAAAAATACCAGTTATTTAAGATTGCTTTCAAAAATAAACATTTATTTCAAAATTAATGCTTACGATCTGTACCTAAAACCTAATGATATCTAGCCTATACACCGATTGTGTTTAGGTATCGTTTTAGATTTTTTCAGCGCGTTAAGTTTTGTGTACAGTTTCATCGCAATAGTACCGTAACGAATTTTGCTTTTCACGTAGCAAATTCAGATGTTTCCATTTACATCATTACATGATTTCTTTTTGTTTTTTTTTTCTTTTTTTGCACATACGTATATTACAATTAATTTTCATAAACACTAGAACGCACTTAGACACGTGAAGAATAACCCGACGATCCACCATTTTAGAGTCACTCTGTAACCATAATGCATTCATCTCACATACTGTCTAAATAATATCTTTTTTATTTTATTTCATTCTGCGTTTTTAGATTTTTTTCTTTGCACAAAACGTATCTTCATAAAAAAATTACTTTACAATATACGCTTTCCCTAATACAAATCCAGTTTTCATTTCATGTATCTGTCACTACTACTTTTACCACCAGTCCATTGCAGAACTTTATACAGTGATAGTGCTTCAGATGTTGATGTCTTATATGTTATAAATGCCAGGAGGCTTTTTAATCGTTATCCGTGATGATTTAGACAGCTTCTGCAGCAAAGCCTTTACTAGCTTGTACTAGTTCGTTGAACGAAGTTTCCATGCAGTGTCGCAATTCAGCATAGCTAACAATAAGCACGCTTTGTTCGTCTCGTGAAACTAAGCAGATCTGCTTATTAGAAAATATAAAAATTAAAGTCAGAATCTTCAAATTTGGATGTTAAAGATTCGAAAATATAAAATTTCTTAAAAAGTGGTAGAAAAATTTATGGAAATTTGATTATTAATTGCACAAAGTCGTGATTAGCTACATTGGTAATTAAGACGATTGAATTTTTAATTTACATTTTGGAGTTTCAAAAAATATCATTTTTAATTTATAAAAGCATTAATTGATATACTATTGTTTGTAAGACATAATTATAATGGTTTAGCATGAAAATAAAATTACGTATATCTATTTGTGTATTATATTATAATTTGTAATACAATTTTAGAATTCTAAAATCTGAGACATGAACAAAGAGCACATAATAGAAAACTTTAATAATAAGGTCTCAATTTGAAGAGAAAGCTCAGGAAAATAAATGAAATTTTATTTAAAAAGAAGAGAGAAAAAAAAAGAAAAAAAAAAAGAAAAAAAAAGATACATCAATAATTGTTAATAATATGATTAATTAATATTTCATCCATAAAAATTAATTATAGCTTCAATTTTTTCCATAAGTAAAACCTTATAATAAATTTCATATGAAATACTGGATAATATATTAAATGAGTTTTTGAAACTACATACTGCAAGGTTTTGAATTGAATTATTTGAATATTAAAAATAAGATCAATGAATCAAAGTATTCATGAAGTACAATAATGTTACTGAAAGAAAAAATATACTAACTCACCTTGTCTGGTGCACCAACATCTAATTTATTTAAACACGATACGACATGAGCTAAATCTAACCAAGGCTTTCCATCAGCTGTAACTTGATGGAAAACATAATCCCTAAACAATTTGAGCATGTAACGATCTCCGGTTTCTGACCATTGTGAATCAAGATTAAGCTCAGGTCGTTCATTAATAGTGGCCAGCTTGACAATTAGCCTAAAAAGCCTTCCATTTTCAAGTTCTTTCGTTAGCTCATTCTCAAGCACGTCCGAACAAAACTGTGCCGCATCCAATTGGGTATAAAAACGCGCACCAATCATTGGCATTAAATCTGTCACACTTCTTCGTGCTTGATTCGATAATAAATACCTGAATATAATCCATTTGTAAATAATCAAAGAAATATATTGTACAATGTGTTGATTATAATTTTATAATTAATACTTTGAATTACTTTTGATTTGCTTTAATCAAAATATTTGAGCTTAATAAACTTTTTAAACATTGATAATTTTTTACTAACTTTTTAACACGTTAGTCATTTCGATGAATTTAATGTCATTTAGACTTAAACAATTTTTAAAATATTGATTACAAGGAAATAATGTTATTTACAAACCAAATTATACTATAATTTAAATGTATAATTAAAATTTAAATACAAATGAAACATTAAATGTTACATAAAAAGTAAAAAAGTTATTTGCTTATTTGAACAATACAGTGTATTAAAATAAAATAAAGGTGAGCATTAAATATACGAACAGTATGAGATTCCGGAGATCGGTTGAGTAAGAGCGTGCAACGAGTTCAAGAGATGCTTGCATATTATCTCGATGAACTGCAAGAAGACTGCGACAGGCCAGTGCGAGAACCAATTTTCCGAGCGCAATAGGATCAGGCTTAAAGGATTCGGGGTGTTACCATCGAAGGTAACGACGTCCGGTACCGCAGCACAACTTATACGCAGCCGCGTACGAGAAGTCAACAAAACTTTGGTAGGATCTAAGCACCTGTATGCTAGACCTAGAAGTCGAAAAATTATTGATAGCCATTAACTAGATAATACAAAGGTTTGTCCAATCATCGCTCAGCTATCAAATATCTATTGAACAACTTGCAGCACAATCATTTTTGTTGATAATTTTGATAAGAAATAATTGATGTATTTATTTAATAAAAAAAAAAAAAAAAAAAAAAAAAAAAAAAAAAAAAAAAAAAAAAAAGCAACCAAAACAATTCGGTATAAATGAAAATAAAAAGTTAATTAATAACCATCTTAGAATATTTATAGCTTCTATCGACTGGCAATAAATGAACTGTAAAACACGGAGTTGTCTTTTATTTCAAGTACAAGTTACAAGTATTCAAAGTAACTAATCGACATTATTTAATTACAATACATTTAGTTATACCGTACGATACAGTAATTATTATACTAAATAATTAAAAAAATTGTTAATAAAAGCTATCAGTGAAAATAATTATGATAAATTTTTGTTTTAATATTTACAAAACAAATATATGTTTAAAGTAACAGTCGATTATGTATACATCTAATATCGATAAAATAAATAAATTCATGAATATTTACAAAGAACATAATAAATATTAAGGAATTATTAAGTACTACATCAAAAAAGCAACAAAAATAACTGTACAAACAACAATATGATAATATATTTTATGCAATGTAAGAAATAAATACCAGCTGCATGAATCACACGAAGGGCTGCAGTAAGTTGAATTATATAGCTCCAAATTATACTCTCTGGAAGCATGCTATTATGCTGCTGTCTAAGTATTGTATTCTTTGTATGACTGTATGGACGTGGAGCATTTGGATCAGAAGAAAATGGATCTGTATAGCCATTTAGTTCAGTTGCAGAGAAATGTTTATTTAATAATGTCTCAGAGCCAGGATGATAATCGTAAACAAATACTATCGCTGCGTACAAAACAAATTTTTAAATAGTATTATTTGATAATGTATAATTTAATTTAAGATTATAAGATTGACAATGTAAATTAATACTTACAATGATCACCAAATGCTTTTGTAGTAAACACCTCTCTTAACTGTACAAGATTTGTATGTGCTAATTTTTTCCACATATCAACGAGTACCATACACTTCGTATTTGTTAAGCTGAATTCTATAAATTAAAATCTTTATTCAATAATAAAATAATAATATGACAAAATTGATTTCAAACTGATGAGAAGCATAAATTTAAGTTAGTCTGATCACATTTAATTTAAAAAAATAAGTTATAAAATTTTATAGTTTAATTATCACAAAGCAAATTATACCTTACAATTATCAGTCTTTAGATATGATATAATTTTATAATTTTAGAAAAATTTATATATAACAAACCGTGAATACGTCGTAGACAATACTTTGTTCCGTTTTTAATATTTGTAGCTTTATATGTCGATGATTGGTAGCCAAGTACTGTTGAAACAGGTTTTTGCATTAACTCCATTGGAACCAAATCATGATAATTTTCAACTTCAGCGGGTATGTCTGGATATTGTATATGATCTGGTTGAGCTAGTGTTAGTGCATTTTTTTGAAGTATTTCTATCCGCAAAGTTTCATTAACAAAGAAACTTGGTGTCTGTGGAGGCGGTGGCGTAACGGATTCTACATTGTTAGATGCAGGCTTTGACACTTTCATTAACTGTAGGTAAGATGGTGTGCCTGGATAAATATAAGCTAGTGGTGGAGGTTCTACGTTGCCAACCTAAATAAATATTTACAATTTAGCTTTATTAAAAAAAGTTTATCAATAAAAGCAAATAATTATTTAGCCAATAATTATTTTAATTATTACCAACGATATCTATTACATAACTTAATAATTTAATAAGATAAAAAATAAAAATGAAAGGGGCAATATATTTCAGAATATAAAAGATCAACAAAAATTGATATAATTTTACTTACAATTTCATTTCCATCTACAACAGTGATAGCGGGATCAACAACAGGATTTTGTACATAAAAATATGTTGTACCCCCAACATTTTCCTGGGAATGATAAGAATTATTAAAGATGTTGGGTGATGTGCTATTACTATTTGAAACACCTCTTCCAGGTAAAAACTCGGGAGTAGTAGTAGTAGTAGCAACAGCAACTTTTTTAGACGTCTCCAATGATAAGTTAGATAAATGTTTTGTCACATTTGCTGTATTTAATGCTGCACTTGAGGTTTAAAAAAAAAACCATAAAAAAAAATTTTTTTTTTTTTATATATATATATATATATATATATATATATATATATATATATATATATATATCGTTATTTTGTTAATTAACATTTAAACAGTTTTTTTCTTTTATAAGATAATCGTTCATGTTGAGTAATATTTTGTAATTTCTTAATAAATAATTTTCATAAGTGCACTCCAAATTTTCAAAGAGAAATTTAAATTGGAATCATTAGCAATTGAGAAATAATTTAAGTTTATAATGAGTAGCAGTATCGCTTAAATTGTAACAAAGAGAATAAAGGATTTGATCAGTAATAAAAGACAAAATAGTACCATATAAGTAGCAAGTTTTGACTCCAGAGGGACTCCATTGGCCTGAGGTGTGTAAGCAACAAACATTGAAGGGTCCATGTCTCCTTCAAAAGCTGCATTTACCACAGAACAATCAACAATATGAGATGTAATAAATTATAAGTAATAAATTTAAGTTATAAATGCTTTCTCCGTTAAATAAAATAACTAAAGAAGCTTTTCTGACTGTGTGTATGCGTGTGTGTATACGCACGTATATATATATATATATGCATATATATATATGCATATATATATATGCAAATATTGGTGTATATATGGATGCGCGCTTGTGTATATATATATATATATATATATATATATATATATTATATTATATTATATTATATATGCATGCATACGTGTATTTATACATACAAATATATTCATATATAGAAAAAACAAACTATATAAAAAGGAGTTATGAAAAGCTTCTCCCGCTCGTAATAATGCTGTATCTTTATTATCCTCCCTTCTCACTTAGTCCGTTGTCTGTATGCAAGTGTGAGTGAGTGTTTAGTGTGCGTGCACGTATATGCAAGTATATAAAGCAGCAACAATTGAGATTGTGCATCGATGCACATACGTGGTGTGCCTTAGCTTCTCCCAGATAAACTTGTCTGTCGTTCCTCAAGAACTACATCTTGCTGACAGCCCGAGAAGCAAGTCGACTTAGATGATAATTCGCACGGATACACAGCAATCGCTCAGCGACGTCCGATCTCTCCTTTATGCGTGGCGTCGCTCTTTGATCATAC